AATATAAAAGTAATGAGTTAAATAAATAGGTAATTAAATAAATAGATAAATAAATAAATAGGTAAATAAATAAATAGATAAATAAATAAAATAAAAAAAAATAATAGTAATACTTCAGATCTAAAAGGTTTGCAATCGCCATTGCTGGATGAAAAGCAAATTCAAATCATTTATTGATCAATTCGAGAACTTTTGTTTTGAAATCTAATTCCAAATCATATGAATTAATTGATTCTTGAAGTTGCTACTATTCGGAATAAACATGTGAAAGCAAAAGGTTATCAGATTCGAATAATCGCATTAGTCTAACAAAAGGCATTAGAAAAGAAGCAAGTTTTTCAAATTCTTTCCATAATAAATTACTTAATATTTGATCTTTAAGATCTTGTGTAATTTTTTTGCTAATCTCAGGCTGTATTATAGTTATTTGTATTCCTAATTTGCATCTAAGAACGGATTGTATAGCATCTAAACAAGTTCCCCAACATGTGTCAACGGGTTGAACTAAAGTAACTGTATTTGGTTGGTTAGCTAAAATCGACTCTGCTTGATGATGTAATTGAAAAAAGCCAATAATCTGCTTTACATAGATCATTAATTTTTTTACCCAATCGAGTTTAAGTATATCTTTAATTAGAAGGTTCCCGATATGTGCATTACAACCCAAACATATCAATTGAGGATAATCTCGATTCAACAATTTCCAAGCTGCTCTCATTGAACTTGCATTGTCCGTTACAATTCCAGCAAAGTTGAAAGGGCCAACATGTTCAATAATAGTCTTGAACTCATTGTAAATATATTCTGCAGTATGTGATGCAGATATAGTATACTTCGCATCATAAAATATTGGTCATGGAAGGCAAAGAATAAAATTTAAAACAGATTCTTGTCTAATATTAGACTACCCATCTGACACTAATGCAATATTTTCAGCATCATTTAGAATTATATCCAAATTTTGTTGCTCGACTTGATACTCAGCATCCAGAAGATTATTGGTTAAATTACGTCAATTAGGGCTAATATAAAATGGGTTTACATTTTTAATATAGTGTTGTACAGCTTCCATAAATTCTTCCCAAAAAGGATTTTCTATTGCTGTAAAAGAAATTCCTGCCAAAAAAAAGAATTTTGCTAATATACTATCTACGTCTAATTTACTTAATGACATTGTAGAACCAGAATCTTGAAGGTTCAGCAAATTTCTTATATTTTTTAGAAGCTTTTTACATTTAGTTAAATATTCTTTTAATTGGCCAATTAAATCAACAAGGTCCTCTTCACAGTGGTTACACTTTTGACGAGGTGTGGTTCGACCTTGCTTGTCACTTTCCGTAATTTTTGTGAAGTTCAAACAAATTTCTTTTAATGGAGGTCTTCCACGAGACAAAGTTATTCAAGGTATTTTTTTTTTTTTATATATATATTAGTAATCGTAAGAAATACTGTTTAATAATAAAAATCGAATTGTGTAATTTTATTTATTTAATAATAAAATTAATTTTATTATTTATTAATAACATTGAATTGCGTAATTTAGTTATTTAAAATCAGGCTGCATAATTTATTTATTTATTATAATAATTACGTCATAATGTTTTAAAACATTTTTAAACAATTAAAAATCAAACAATCGAGATTTTTAAGATCGTGTTTTAAAACATTTGCCATCCCTAGCTATAATTTAATTTAGCTTATAAAAGGTTAATTTCTGTTGCAATTTAATTAAAGATTGATTTTTTTATTATTATCATAAACTAAATTTTTTTATTTTTATTTTTTTAGAAAAAATAGATTTATGGCTTCTAACATAAACAATTTTTTAGATTTATCTATAAGATCTTTTAAATTACTCAATATATATATGTTATTATTATTTTTAAAAAAAAAACTTCTATTTTAACTTCGAAAATATAATGTCTATTTTTTTAGGATGTAGCAAATAAGTTTTTTGTAATGGTATTTCATCTAAGTGTTGAATATTTGATGGAAATTTAATTTCAAAATTAAGAACTATAGATAAATAAATATTATAGTAATTAATAATAATGTTATTATGTGCTAAAAAAATTTAGTGATTTAAAAATAAACCTACGTGTTAATGCAATAATAATTTTTTGTTCCTTCATTGCAAAATTTTGACCTAGACTATAAAACAAGATTATAATTTATATATAAATGTATAATATAACTTATATATTTAATTACTTTGTGTACTTTATATATTCAAAAAAAAAAGCATACCAGCTTCTAGATCCAATAGAAAATGGAATCCAACTATTTCTTATCTCTTTATCAGGATTTATAAATCTTTCGGGTATAAATTTATTAGCATCAGTCCAAATATCTGGGTTTCTTTGAATTTGCCAGAAATTTACTACAACCATTCCTTTATTTGGTAATATAATATTTTTTGATAAATTCAATGGCTTGGTAAGTTTACGATGTACTATTGTTGCTGCTGGTGGATAAAGGCGAAGTGATTCCATAATTATTGCTGTTAGATATTTTAGATCCTATTATAGTAATTTTAAAAAAAGTAAGAATTATATTTATAAAGGTAAACTTTAAAATTGAAAAAATACCTTAAGATTTTCAGAAGTTGGTAAATTTGAAGCACTTCCTAGAACATTAATTGCTTCCTCTCTAGCTTTTTTTTGAATATCCTGAAAAAATGCAAACCCATTATAATAATTTCAAAAGGTAACATCAATAAAATCAAATTCAACATTATAAAAAATTCAAATTACGGGATATTTTGCTAAATAATAAAGAATAATGCTTATTGAAATTGCAGAAGCTACATTAAATAAAATAAATTAATTAAGTTTACTGTAGTATATATTATTCAGTTAATATTAAATGATAAAAACTTAATACTTGCTATCATTTCCTGCAATGAAATAATTAATTAGATTATCTCTAAGTTCCTTATTCTTGTAATAATCTTCTTCATGATTAGCAGCTTTTAAAATTTCAGCCAATAAATCAGTATTTTTATTTTTTTCTTTAGATATTTCAAGTCTACGTTGTTCGATTATTTTAAATATAAAATTGTCAAACTCTTTAACTAATGAAAAAAATTCAAAATTTCTTTTAAGAGGAAGTGAATTCAAAAATGGAAATATCGTAAAAAGATAATTATTGGTATGTTGAAAAATTTTGTTATATATATTTAAAAAGTATGGCTGTTCTTCTAAACTATCCAATGCCTTTTTTTTAAGAAAAATTTTTTGTTAGTTTGTAAATTAAAAGGACGATGGAACAGATGGAACAGGGGTGAAACCTGAGTTGCAAGTAGTGAAGTCCGCTCCGCTTGTAGATTGAGTTAGGGTGAAATCCGCATTTTATATTTTTTATTTTATAAAAGCGGATTTCACCCTCATGTAATGATCATAGCGGCGGCGGACTTCACTATTTATATAAATACACACTTTCATATCGTATGCGAAAGCCAATTTTCCTAAAACTTGAACAGTAAGACGTTTCGTTAATGAAAGCACATCTATCGGAGTATCTGTCCACTTGTTTAACAACTTTATAAACTCATTTGTGCATTCTCCAACCATATCAGGACGAAGTACTTGATTAAATGCTGGTGATGCAATTTTTCGCTGTTGTTCCCAATGCTTTAAAATGAAGAAACTAATTAATAAGAAAGATGAAAATTTTTAATAATATTACTCAAAAAATTTCAATGAAAGATAATTACGTCTCCATTCGACATTATTATTCCTTTTCCAAAGATAATACTATGTGGATCTTTTGGAGAAAATTCGACCTTTGGAATTGTGTGTACTTAAAAAAAAAAAGGTTTCTTTTAGAAATGAACTGATAATTCAAAACTTAAAAGGACAATGATATATACCATTCTCAGAGAGAAATGATTTAGCATATTCGATGTCAGTTATATGAACTGACCAACCAAAAGAAAAAAGCTAAAATATTGAACAAGTATTTAGCTTTTCACAACGATAAAACTTATTGATAATAGGATTAAATTTACTAACTTTCACTAAACCAATCTTATTAGGATCAGATTCACGAATAAGTTTTTGAATTTCATGCTGCCCTCCATTACTCAACAAAATTGAAAAGAGTTTAAAGAAAGAAACTGTTGGAATGAATTCCAATTCTTTAGGAGGTTTATTAATTCTACGTATAAAGTAGAATAATAAAGTCGAAACTATGAAAATCAAATAAAACCAGAATGTCATTTGTAATAGAGCGCTATAGTTAATCTTTGAGCAAATGAAAATTAAATATAATTTAATTATTGGAATCTTTTTTGTGTTTTATTTATACGGTCGAGCACTTGACTTGTCCACTATAAAATGATTGAATAGGATCATCTAAAATCTTAGCAAATAAAGATACTGAAGGAATGATTGAAAGTTTTGTAAAATTATGATCTGCTGCTGAAAGTTCTATTTGTGCTGATATTGCCATTTTTTTGTTGGAAGATTGAAGATCAAGGAACCTAGTGATATCTTCATGATAATCACATCATATGATTAAGTGTTCGGCCTACTAGTTGATAGGTTAATTTAGGCCAATTTGTTTAGTACTAGTAACGGTAAGCGCATGATTTACGTGATGTGATAATCACAAGGTTTCTTGTTCTTCAAGTGTCCCAAGCACTTTTCATTAATTTACTTCGCATTAGTTACTAATTATACTAAATGGGATCCATACCATGCAATTCATTTAAAAGTTAGTTAGCCTGTAAATTTATTCATTCAAGATCGTTGTGACAGGCTATGCATGTCGCCGTGACAGCATGATGGAAATTTGGTTTGATTGGCCAAAAAAATGATCGACATTTTATAAATAATAAATTTTGATTGGTTAAAACTAAAG